AAAGATATCGATGGACTCGTGAGCCAGTGGCAGCTTTTCAGGAGTTCCCTGCTGAGTCTCAGCAGATTTCTTGCTGATACAAACAGCTTCATTATAGCTGTGAAGAACCAGGACTGCTATAGTCTTTACCAGCTTAGAAATCTAATTAATGATTTCAAGGTACTGTATTTATTTCTCATAAATCTAAAATCTGGGTTTTTTTTTTCCTCAGACTGAAACAACTTCTGTCCAGTAAGGTAAAAAGCTTTAAAATCACGTGATTTTTGGAGAAAAACAACTACTGACACTTTTTCTTAAAGCTGAGCACAGATGAGAAAACATGTGAAAGGCTCGTTACACTAGGAAACTTCCTGGTCAACATTGTAATTTAGTAGCCTTGTATGTTTAAAAATATTACTGATATCAAGATGGAAATGCAGGGTGCTAGGGAGATAAGGTAGAAACCCTGGTCAGCAGGTACCCTGTAGGTGTGTGGGCCGTGTGCGCAGGGATGGACAGGAGGTGCCAGGAGCAGAGGATAAAGCACTTGCAACGGGGTCTGTCCTTGGAGCCACCACTCCAGAATGCTCAGACCTGGGCAGCAGTTCTTCAGGGCAGTAAGTTCTGCACTTTATGTGCAGTGGAAAAAAAATAATCTTACTTTGTTAATTTTGGGTACCTTGGTTTTCCTTTTAATTATGCATCTCTTTGTTTCATAAGAAAGTAGAAGCAAGCAGTGAACTTGATGGTTGCTTAAGGCAATTTAAACCTTTCAAAAATACACTATTGAATGCTGTTTGCATGGTCCAAGATTTGTTGCATTCCCGCACACCTAATGTTGATGAATTAACACATTACTAGTATTCCAGTTGGCACTTGCCCTATTTATTTCATCTTTATTTTTACCTGCTGTGTAAAGATGATTTTCAGTAGATTTTACAAGTTAGTGCTCATGCTTTTCTTTAGTGAGAAAAGCCAGAAAGTCTTCTCCCTCCTACTCCAAATTGACCTTTCCTCCTGCTGTTGTTTTACAGAGAGAAACATTGATCATATCTGCTTGTGTTATAGACCAGTTTGTGTTGTAGGCAAACTATTATTGATGGCTTACTTCATTTGGAGTATGCCGTGATTAACAGATCTGTTATCTCTGAAAATATTGTCTTAGTTGTTGATGCTAACTGAACTTAAACTGATTTTTTATTCAGAAGAACTTAGACAACTGATTTCCCATCTTTTTGTAACTGCTGCACTTTCACTCTATAGATTCAGTCTGTGAAAAGCTATTGTAGATTTTTATAGATCAGAAGACCAGAAAGAATCTAATTTTTCTGAAATTAAAAAAGCAGAAGCAGATAGGAGAAAATCTATTCATCACTCTTTCATGGATGTGAACAGACTAGTGCCTTGTAACTCCTTTTGTGAGTCTTCACTTCTTCCCAAGTGAAATGCCACGAGTGCACTTCTAAAGCTTGGAAATGTAATTTTTTTTTTTTCTTTTAAAGAGTAAGGCAGTCATTCTTCAGAGGTGGCAAGCCATGTACTCCTTAATCATTGATGTCGGGGAGAAGTTGCGCACTGTCTGTGATCCTGAGACCAACAGTGTTCTCCAGGAGGAGCTCAGCCAGTTGCAGCAGAGTTGGGGGGACACCCAGGTCCAGCTGGAGAAGAAGAAGATGCAGCTCAGCAGCACCCTACAGGTAGGTGATGCCCTCCCCAGGGAGCAGAAGCACCTGCTTCTCTGGCATTGGGTCTGGTGAGCTTCCCTGCCGCACCGTCTCCAGGGCTGCGCCCTGTACCAACAAGGCAAACACTGAGCTGCTGCTCGCTGCAGGGGGGCTCTGAGGGTTGTGCCCATCATGTGCCACCAGGGCTTGTGGGAAGCTAAAACTGTGGTCCCCTGATTCTTCAAAGGAAAATGGGTTTGGTATCCATTTGTTACTACAGTGGATGTTCCCACTCCGATTGTTCTTATGTTCCCCGTGGCCTGGAGCTCTCTCCTGCTTCAGGCTGTGAAACCTGGGCTAAAATTCAGGTTAGAGAGAGTTAGCATGACTTGTTGCTCCTCTAACCAGAAGGGTAGGTCATATTTATTTGCTTAAAGCAATAAATTTGCTTTCATGGCTAGACAGCACATAGGTATGTCTTAAAATTGAACACTGTCATCAATATGATCCCCAGCCCAAAAACTATGCTAAAAGCCTCTCAGGTTGGACAAAACAAAATTAGCAGAAACGTTCTGTAAGACAAACCTCAAATACAAGAGAGGGTGCAAGTTATCCTGTAAATCCATGCACCAAATTCTTGTGGATGGTACAGTATATCAAAAAGAAAATCCAAATAACCAGAGCACATGATTATTAATTTCAGTGGGTTGAAGAGGCTATTTTGAAATATATCCATATGGTACCATATGTCATGATGAAGGATCTTAACCTTTATAACTTCCTTGGGTCTCCTTGAGCAGAGTTGGGACTGCTGTGAAAAGCAAACCAAGGCATTAGAAAGCAGGCTGCGAGAGCTGAAGGAGAAAGTAAAAGATCCACTTCCAGTTGAACACGAAGAGCTGTACAAAGCCAAGGAACACGTTAAGGTATTGAACAGCCATTTTGTATTTAAATAGATGTAGTCTTTGCACAACACCTAATCACTGTAAAATCAGTTTTCCCTCTTAACCTGCTCTTCAGTAACACTGGAGTTCTCTCCTTTATACCGTCCTGATTCCTGCCAATCTGCAAAGTCCAGCTGACCAAGATCACAAGAGTAGTAGTGCTTGGATTTTTTTTCCCTGCTTCTGCTCTATTTCCACAGTCTGAATTTATAAAATAAGCAGTTCCTCAAACAAAAGGGAAAAAACTCCCTAGTCTCAGCTCGATTGGCTGCTATCCTAGTGGCTGAATCTTCCTTTTTGTTTTCGAATCCATTTTGGACAAGGAGCTCCTCAGGCAGAGACCTTGTAAGTCTACAAAGCACCATGCACACCTGTGGGATCTGAGAATAATTAAAGAGAAGGAAAATTAAGAGTAAGGGAGTGGCAACAGCCCTCGCAGCCCATAGTGCACCACAAAAATTAAATGGCAAGGAAAGCATTTCCAAGGAATAGGAGACATTTTGTCTGGACTGGTCAGTCTTTCATCATCCTTTTATGAAGTGAATTGTTGACCTGTGTAGTGGGAACAAATAAGCTTATTAACAAGCCAAGGCTTTGAACTCATTATCAGCTGTCTGAAATCTTCTTTGTGAGTGCTGGCTGCCTTTCCCACGGCAGCCGTCGTGCTGTAGCCCTGAATTATTTGTGAGATTGCAGAACACAGTTCCGGGCTCTTATTCCAGTAAAAGAAATTCAGCCGCAGAGGTGTCAGGGTCAGACAGTGCCAGTGCAGTTGCTGCTCTTGGGTGTCACAGTATAATAAAATAAAGGACCAAAATGGCATGGGGGAGAAAGGACCTCCTTTCCTCTCCCTGCATTTCACTCTTCTGTGGAATAAAGCTGTTGTCTCTCAGGCCTGGACCTTACACAAGGCTAGCAAAGTCCCATGAAATTCTGTTGTTAGCTCCATTAATGCAGGGATTCAACCCTTGTTAAGATATAAATGCACATGTGCACATCTGTAGGCATTCATTTGTTGTGAGCTCAGGTAAATTTTAGTCTCAGGTTTGTTTGGTTGTTTTTTTTTTTTTCCTCCAGCGTTGAAGCAGATCAGATTTAATTTTTTAATGATTTTAGATAAGTGTTTGGATCAAAAGACCTGTGAAAATGCTCCCAGGACTTGGATCCAGCACACTTCTCCTGATATAAACACTCTATTTTTTTTTCTCTTTAAAATGAGACAAATTGGATCCTCTCTAAGAGCTTTATTTGTTAGAGGAGCCAGGGACACTTCCCAGCACCCACCTTGCAAAATGGGACCTAGTACCTTGTGTGTAGAGTGCCCTGTTTCCCCGCTGCACGCAGTGGTGTCTTTGGTTTGTAGGTGACGATTTGACCACTGGTGAGGAAATGCCCACCTTGTTGTAAAGGGGGAGCCGGAGGAACAAAGCAGAAAAAGGAGCGTGTTTCTGTGAATGAGCAGTTTAAAAGCTCTGTCCACATCTCTGACAAATCTGACGAGGTGCCTGTGAAATCATTCATCAGAGAAGGGAACCAATGCTAATTTTTTTTAGCATTTAAATAAATAACCCGAAGTTGGAACAAACGCAGGCGGAAAGCACCTTGGCCAAACCAATAATAATTTCAAAAAAAGAAAACCCAAAGAAGTGGGCAAGGCCCTTCCTGGACGTGACTCCCCAAACGCTGCCCTGGAGCCACCGGGAGCGGCAGGGGGTCAGGCAGCGTTTCGG